GAACAACCCATCTTGGGCTTGCTTCAGGTAAAGCTCTAACGTAACTAGATAAGACAGCGTTCTTCTTCCTCGTCTCTTGCTCCTATGGCTTGATATCACCCGGTTCTACAAAGTCATGAACGATAGCGAAGGCAAAGCAGCCGAGCCAAAGAGGATGAACGGACTTTTCATTATTTAATAGTCGAGGGAGTTTATTTAGGGGTTTGAATAACTATCTAATATGAGACGTTGCTGCTGGTTTTGCCTTCTTCATTCTTCGAAAAGAGCTACGGTCGAAATCAGGTTAATGAATAAGGATGACTTGGAATAAATCTGCTGAGTTTTATGGGGCTGAAGAAGCGAGCAACACCAGGCAGGCAACGTCCATTGAAAGATTTCAAACCTAAATAAAAACTCCCTCGACTGTATTATAATGAAATTCCTGTTTCTTTGGCTTGCCTGCTTTGCTTCGCTATCTTGCAATATGAGCCTGCTTGTAAAGTAAGTATTCAAGCCCCAGTAGGAGAAAGAAGAAGAAGAAGAAGACGTTTAATCTTATGAACGTCAGTAGAAGAAGATGATGGTGTCAGACTAGCTTTGGTGAGGACTCAGGGTCTAGCACGCTGTAAAATCTTCTTGAAGTTAATAAAGGCTTCACACCTAGAAAGATCCATTAATAGTCAAAAGATAAAATATTTAGTTCTTTAACCTTATAATCTCTCTCTGTCGTTTTCCCCACTAATTTTTATTAGTAGTTTCACCCACTTTTAGCAAAATTCTGAAATCACCTTCCCCAAACACAATTTATTTATCTTATGAATCCTAGTTAAATCATTTACTTTTCAACATTAGACAATGCTTCTGTTCTTTACTTATATATTTTTCCTATATCTTCAATCCTTCAGACCACTCCTTGTTACATGTAATGAATGCTCTTCAATATTTTGTTTCTTTATTTTCATGCATTTCATGATTGTATTTTCATCGATATGATATTTATTCTCTAGGATTGTGATAAATCTGAAACAGTTTAGTTTTCAAAATATGATTTCTACATTTTGCACAACTGCATCCCATATATTTGCTTCTCAAATTGTCGTCACATTTGTGTGGTGCAACCGATCCACCACATGTTTTCATTGTTTTTAAGATGCATTTTATTCATGTAAAAAAAAAAAACCCTTTGGGGAGTTTTTTCTAGCAGCCTCCATAAATGTTCTTTGTTGAAGAATTTATTAAATCTGTATCACTTGCTGGCCTTACATGCAAAAGCAAGTTGTCAAGATCTACAATTCCTTGGGAAATATGTCCATCACGGAGCTCTGTCTAGGCATTACAGAAAGAGGGCACTTGTTAGTCAGTGCCCAAAATTTCGTTGATGGAAAGTTCATTTGAAGAGATATTTTTCTGCATGACACTAGGACACAACTAATAATTTCCTGCGTCTTGTTAATAGCATTTTTTAAATCCAATATATAAGTTCCTAAATAATCAATATTTATGATATTGGATTTTTATTGCCCCTCTTCGTCGTTGTGCCATCTTTTAGTTCTGCTTAATTTCCGTTGTTAATCATTTAGGCAGCTCGCCTAACCTTTGCTGTACTGCCCTAATTCATCTTCTTCATCATCTTCTTGAGAAAGGAACTCATTCTATTCACTGCACTTTGCTCTTGGTGGATGGGCGCATCAATCACTGCCACCTAGAAAACCCGATACTTACGCCAGCTCTAACCGTATCTTCCACTTGTGCTACACTTTAGATCTTTGCGCCGTTGGAACTATCACCACAATCTGTACCCCCGGAATTTTTTACTTTTCTTGTGGAGTGAACGGAACTGCACCTAAGGGTGGACCAAGGATCTCCTGAACAAAAGAGCATTAGTTGGCTACAGATGGTCAAGCACAACCTATCTACCCAGCTTTCCACGGCTCCGGAGAGTGATCTTTGCTTTAAAAGTTCCTTTTTGCTTCCTCATGGTATTGTCATAAAGCTTTGACCACCATATTGATTGGTCAAAGTTTAGACTCTCTCAATTTGTAAACTTAGACAGCATCTTTCAGCGGACATACGCATAGTGCCGAATCGCTATCACTCCCAATTCGAGTAATCTCGGTCCATTGACGGCGATCTGAATGATTACAACGGTGCTTCATGGTTTTCTTCCTTATCTGGTGGGAGTATGAGTCCAAAAAAGTGACTCTCGCCTATCCTTCGCCGTAGCACACTTGATCATATCACACTCTTGAATCCTAGCTATGGCCACTCTAACAAAATCAGGCCTCAAGTAAAGCTTCGGGTGTCTTATGCTCCGAAGTCGATCAGCAAGTCCCACTATCGAAACTATCTGCTCTTGTCCTTTTGCAACTCTTAAGTCTTTTTAGTACTTGACTATTGTGCTCGGTCACCTCTCCACTTATGCGAGTCTTATTTTGACTGCTTTCCCAACTCGACAGTCTTCTTTGTGCCCTTTCCATCTATCTGCTTCCTCTATTCTTTTCTCTTTCGGCATCATTTTCCGCCTTTCTCTTACATTCTCTTCTTTGTTCCATCAAACAACACCTCATT